GCAGACAGCCCATTCACTCGCTTTGTTTTAGTGGTGGCTCCAGGTTACACGGCCCTCTTGCTTTTTCTACGTTGGTTTATTTCTGATTGTCATTCTACAGGTGATGTGCGGAGGGTGACGGTTAACGTAGATCAGGTAAAGAGTGCAGGGTTTTGTTCTGGTTTTGCCAGTCCCGGGCCTTGAACTCGGGGCCTGGGCCTGGTCCCTGAGCTCTTTTCGCCCAAGGCTGGCGCTCTACCACTTGAGCCACAGCGCCACTTCTGGTTTTGTACTAACCCGGTGGGGCCCGGCCTGCTGGAGGGGGCGGGGCATCAAGAGGCCGTGCCGCCGAAAGGGGCGGGGTGTGCCGCAGAAAGGGCGGGGCATGTCCTGGGGGGGTGGAGCATTGAGCCTCCCACGGTGAGCTGTCAGGAAGGGATTGGACAGTGGGCAGCTTGGGGGAGGAGCATAAGTGGCAGCTGGAAAACCGTTAGGAAGTTAAGATGGAGTTAGCACCGAAGAAGGGGAGGAGTAAGAGTGAAGGACAGGGCAGTCCTCGGGAGGTCACCCCAGGCCTGCTCGAGAGGCCATTTGGGGTCTCCTTTGGAGGTCACCCAGGGCCTCCTCGAGAGGCCATTTGGGACCTTCCTCTAGAGAGGCCTGTGGAGAGGCGCCTCCAGAAGCAGAGCAGTGCAGGCCTGTGGACAGTGGAGAGGCCTGGAGAGAAGGAGGAAGGGGAAAACAGCCTTCCCCTTTGGAGGTTTGCAGACCAACTCATAAAGGTTGGGGGGGGGGGGGTTGGTCAGGACTGCCTATTGGAGGCTCGGAGGTTTGGTGGTCAAGGCTGCTCTTGATTCTTGGTATCTAGCCCAGGACAGGGAGTCTCGAGACCCTTTTCTGGTGTCAATAGGGTAAATAAACTTCTCTTCTCCACCTTTCCCTGTCTGTGCCTTGATGGATTGTCTCGCTCTCCGGAGGTCATAAGTGTTTGATGGTGGTTCGTTGGAGATGAGAGTCTCAGGGATTTTCCTGCCCAGGCTGCCTTTGAACCGTGATCCTCAGATCTCACCCTCCTTAGTAGCTGGGCTGACAGGTGTGAGCCACCACCCGTGCCCAGCTCTGCAGTGATTTGCTAAATAGAACAGGATAGGGTAGAATGGGGGCTGAGTCCAGGCAGCTTCTCCCCAGGTCTCTTCCCCCCCCCTCAAGGTCAGCTAGTTCCCACCATGGGGGTGCAAGGCCATCTATGGCCACCACACCCTGTATATCAGTTAGGGTGAGATACTGAAGGCCCTGGCAGAAAAACTGACAATGAGCAGAAGGAAAGGCAGTCGGCAAATGTCCCCCCATTTTTGGTGGTGGTGGGAGGTAAGCAGTGCTGTGGGTAGAAATGAAGGCTTTGTACATGCTAGCGTAACACTCCCCCTGAGCCAGCCTCCCGCCCATATGCCTGGCCAGGACTCAGGAAGTCGGTTTATTCCTTGTGTGGGTATGAGGTATATGCACACAGGGCTTTTCTTGGCCCACTGCTCCACAGCTCTTACCAAGATCATGCAGAACTCCGTGGGCAAAACCAAAGAGCAGCTTTCAGTCTATTGACTTATCATGTATCAACATCTGTCATTATCAGTCATCGATGCTGCTGATCTATCGATCTCTCATCTACTGATCATCTATGAATCTGATTGATGTATCTTTTGATCTGTCCTATTGATCTGTCAATCATCTACGCAGAAATCATCTTCATCTGGCAATCACATCTCTTCATCTATCAACTCTCTAGCAATGGTCTTGATAGATCCATCATCTACCTAGTAATTGCCATCTGTCTGACAGTCTCATCTATGTTATCCATCTGTCTGTCCATCTGTCTTGTCGGTCACCCATCTGTCTGTCATCTGCCTCTCTGTGGAACCTGGCTTTGCCCTGGCTGGTAAGCCTGCAGCATCTGCAGCTCCATTTTCCCTCTGACCTCGCCGTCACCTGCTGTATTTCCACCTCATTGGCTTCTCAACCAGACCAGGTAGGTTCTTCCCCTCCAAGCGCTGGACCTTGCCAGAATACCGAGAATTACATGACTGCCCAGGGCTCATTCCCACTCTCAAATGCTGAGTCTGGAGTCCTGTCCCGTGGGCGTAGCACCTGCCTTCATCACTGTCTCCGCTCCCATCAGGCCGCTTGTTTTCTGGCACAAGTAAGGACATGACGTGGCCTGCCCGCTGGCCCTGTGCATTGTGTGCCTGGCGCCCTGGCCAGCGCGGGCCACCCCAGGGCACCGGGCACCCGGTCACCTTTGTTCTCCCCCGGGTCCCCAGAGGGGACTGGCATCTGCTCAGGGCTCATTAAAAATTTAATGAGTGAAGAAATGAACAATATCCATGCGAATAATTACTCAAGGGACATCTATGTGAGTAATTACTCAAGGGAGAATGGTCAGAAGCAAGAAGTGTGCCCTTTCACGGTTTTGTTTTTCAATTTTATTATTGGTATTAGAGTGCATAACCTAAAGCCTCAGGTAGGGGTGATTTTTCTCAGTGTGAAGGCTGGGGTGTGGTGGAGGGTAGTGGCGTGATAGCGTGGACGTTCCAACCTTACCGAGGACATCTGCTTCCATTTACTTCGTGCAAATTCAATCCTGTTCATGAGCATGGGCTCACCATTCTGGATTTCTTTCCTGGTTTTTGTTGTTGTTTATTTTGTTTTGTTTTTTGTTGGTCATGGGACTTGAATTCTAGGCCTGGGCACTGTCCCTTAAAGCTTCAGCTCAAGGCTAATGCTCTACCACTTGAGCCACAGCGCCACTTCTGGCCATTTCTGCTTATGTGGTGCTGAGGAATCAAACCCAGTGCTTCATGCATGCAAGGCAAGCACTCTACCACAGAGCCACCTGCCCAGCCCCTCTTTCCTATTCTTAAAATACTGACTTTTCAGTTTTCCTTGGGGGGGGGATTGTTTTTCTAAAACTGGCCAGTGTCATTTTCTTTGGATCCTGGCCTTTAAACTCTTCTTGATTAGGAGCTTAGCAATGGGACCATGGACGCCACACCAGACAAGGCCTCTGCAAAGCTCACATCTGTCATCACGCTATTCAGGAGGCTGAGATCTGAGGATCTCCATTCCTGCTTGGGCAGGAAAGTCCAGGAGGCTCGTCTCCAACTAAACAGCAAAAAGCTGGAAGTGGAGCTGTGGCTCAAGTGGTAGAGTGCCAGCCTTGAGCAAAAAAGCTCAGTGGGCCTGAATTCCAACCTGGGTCTTGGGAAGAAGAAGGAGGAGGAGAGGGGAGCCTTCTGAGACCCTCACAGGCCCCATGAGCTGTGCTCTGTGCCGGGGCCCAGGCTGCACCCGCAGGGACTGCCCCTTCCCCGGCTGTCCGACATTCCACACGCACCCAGTGCCCCTTCCTTCTCTCCCAGGTGACTTCTGCACAGCCCCAATCACCTCACACACTGTACACTTGGCTCTTCCGTTGTATTTTCTGGCCAAGGGCTACACCAAACATCAGACCTCAGCTCAGGAGGCTGAGATCTGAGGATCAAGGTTCAAAGCCAGCCCAGGCAGGAAAGTCCATGAGACTCTTATCTCCAATGAACCACCAGGAAACCGGAAGTGGAGCTGTGGCTCAAGTGGTAGAGCACCAGCCTGGAGCACAAAGGTTCAACCCTCTCCCCCAGGGGACACACACACACACACACACACACACACCATTATCTGTCTCCCTTTCTCTTACACAGACTTCATCCTAGTTCAAATCTGTTCACACCTGCGCCACGCCCCCCCCTCCAGCTTCAGATAATACTTGGCTTCTAGAAGTCACTAGATGGACATGTGTGAGAGAAGTGAAAGAAAAAGCGAATTAACAGGAGGTGCTCGGTAAATATTTGCTAGTGTCGGAGCCAGATGCCTTTGGAATCTCCGGATCCCCTCCTTCCGAGACCCCCTCCTTCCAGGTACCAGCAGGGCTGGGCTGGGCCCAGCTGTTTCCTAACAGCTGAGAAGGGACCGGGCTGTGTTTACAGTGTTTGGGGCTTGAGGTTGAGGTGGGCGGAGCACTGCCCCCCCCTGGCCCCCCCATCCCCGCCCCTGCCCCGCAGGTGTCTTGGAAGCCGCTCAGACCCAGCCGGCCCGGGGCTCTTTCTTCCGTTATTTATTTTTATTTATTGTCAGTCCTGAGTCTTGAACTCGGGTCCTGGGCGTGGTCCCCGAGCCTCTCCGTGCTCCAGGCTGGCGCTCGATCACACGAGCTGCAGCCCCACTCCAGGCTTTTTCTGTGTGTGGTGCTGAGGACTCGAACCCGGGGCTCCCTGCGCGCCAGGCAAGCGTTCTGCCGCCAAGCCACCTTCCCGGCCCGCGGGCTCCTCGGTCTCCCCACCTCCAGGGAGAGAAGGCCCGCAGGTCCTCCTGCCCAGGCTGGCTTCGAGCCGCGGGGACTCGGGGTGCGGTGTGCACGCACCCCCAGCTTCCGCGCCCTGGAGCTCAGATGGTGCCGCGACTGTGGACAGAACCCGGGGACGAGCAGGCGCAGACGCGCGGGAACGCGCTCGAGAGCGCGCCCGCCGGGAGGGGCCTCGGGGCGCGCGGGGTGGTTACGCGCGCGAGCGCGCACGGAGGCTCCCGGGGCCGGCGGCGCGGCGGCGCTCGGGGCGCGCGCGGAGCCCGCTCCACCCTAAGCGCGCGGCTTCCGGGGCGGGCGCCCGGCACTGCAGCCAGTGGCGCTCGGCCTCAGTTTTAATAGACGGGGCCGCCCGCGTCCGCCCGCGTCTCCGCCGTCAGCCCCGTCCTCCGCCATGTTGGGGTGCTGAGGAAAACAAGCGCCGCTCGGCCCGGCTCGGCTCTCCCGCGGCGCCTCGTCCCGCGGCGCCTCGTCCCACGCGCGGCCCGCACTTGGACGGGGCCAGGGTCGGCGCGCGGGCGGCCGATCGGAGCGCGGATCCGGGGCTGCCCCGCGCGCCCCGCGCCCTCCCGGGGCCCCGCAGCCCGTCCCGGGTCCCGGGCCCCGCGCCGGCCCCGCGGCCCCGGCGGCCATGTCGGACGTGCGGGTGTCCGGCGGTAGCCCGCGCCTGGAGCGCGCGGACGCGCGGACGCCCGCGCCGCCCAAGCCGTCGGCCTGCCGCAACCTGTTCGGCGCCGTGGACCACGAGGAGCTGCGCCGGGACCTGGAGCGGCACCGCCGGGAGCTGGAGGCCGCCGGCCGCCGCCGCTGGAACTTCGACTTCCGCAACCACCGCCCGCTGCACGGCCGCTTCGAGTGGCGCGCGGTGGAGCGCGGGGCGCTGCCCGACTTCTACCTGCGCCCGCCGCGCGCGCGCCTGCGCCCCGCGCCCGCGCCCGCCAGCCCGGGGGACGGCGCCGGGGAGCCCGCGCCCGACGCGCCCGAGCCCGCCGCCGCCGCCGCCGCCCGCAAGCGGCCCGCCGGGGAAGGTGAGGCGCGGCCCGCGCGTCCGTGCGGTGTCTGCCCAGTGTCCGTCCGTCTGGTAGTGCGGTGTCTTGTCTGTCCGGTGTCCGTCCGTCCGGTGCCAGTCCAGTGTCTGTCCGGTGTCCGTCTGGCTGTCCGCTGTTTGGTGTGCGTCCAGTGATCGTCCGCCTGTCCGCTGTCCGTGTGTCTGTCCGTCCGTCCCTGGGCGGACACCGCTGGGCTGGATGGACCCGGCTCTCCTGCCCTGGGTGCTGATGGTCGTGAGATCGGATCCCAGCCGGTCTCCGCCCCGTCCTCGCCTCCCCTCCCTCCCTCCCTCATCCCTTCCCCCCTTCGGCCTCAGGTTCCTCGGCCCAGAACAAAAGAGCGCACCGGGAGGAGAGCGGGGCCGGGGCGGGCGGCGCCCCGAGCGCGGACGCGGGCCCCGCGGAGCGGACCCCGAGGAAGCCAGCGCCGCGCAGGCCCACGACGTAGACCGGGTAAGGGCGGGGGGCCCGATCCCGGGGCGCGCTGATCCCGGGGTGCGCTGGTGGGGGGGATCGTGCTGATCCCAGAGGGGGGCGCTGACCCCGAGGCGCCGGCCCCGGGCCCCCGCGGGGCTCTGCGCCTCAGTCCTGGCGTCCCATGGAAACAGGCCCCCGTGAAACACGGGGTCCGGGGCGCCCCAGAGCTCGTGTTTGCAGAGTGAACCCCAGCATTTAGCCCGCATGTGGGGGCAGGCGGGGCACCCGGTGAGCTGCAGTCCGGGGAAGGAAGGAATCTGCATTAAAATGGGAGAGGGAGAGCTGTCTGGGGAAGTTCCGCGGTTCTCCGGGTCGCCCTGGAGCTGCCAAGCATAAAGACGTCGGACCGGCCAGCCCGGGGGTCGCCGGGGCGGCCGGGTGGGGGAGGTGATGGCAAAGGTGGGGACAGGCCCGGCCGTACCGAGGGGAAGCTTTTCCTCAGCACCGGCAGAAGTCACTGGAATCATTCAGCCCCAAGTTGATGTGCCGTCGGAGGTGATCAGACCGAGGTCTGGACAGCGTGTGAACCCCGTAGACCAGGGCTGCGACCTGCTTTTCCTTTTCAGAGGCTCTCAGCAGCTTCTCTGGACTCCTGTGAGCAGAGTGGCCGGGGACATGTGTAGACCCCGTCGTCCCTCCGGGAGTGCTGGGCTCTTGGGCTTCTTTGCCACCCACACCTGGCGGCTCTCAGCGCTGCTCCCAGTGCCCAGGGAGACCCTCCATCCCAACAGGAGGTCGGGCAAGAAGGTGGACCCCTGCCATCCTGTTGACTTCTGCCACTTGTGGCCTGGCTGGCCAGAGCCGCGTCCCCTCCGGATTTTAATGTGACACTGTTGGAGATGTTTTGTTAGTGGTGGTGCCAGATACTAGAAACGGCCCTCAGGCCTGTGTAAAAACTTGCATGAGTATGCTGTGCACAGGAACAGGAAATTAGAATGTTTTTCAAGAAGGGAAGTTAGAATTTTCCTTCAGAGGTCTTTTATGGGTTATGTTTTTAAGCATTACTCAAAGTCAGGCAGTTAGACTACTTTAAAGTGTTAAGTATCTGAATTTTCTACCCAGGTTCGTGGGGGGGGGCGGGGGGGGGTGTCAAGTTGGGCTTGAACTCAGGGTCCGGGCACTGTTCCTGAGCTCTTTTGCTCAAGGCTGGTACTCTACCACTTGACCCACAGCTGGCCTTCAAGTTTTTGGTGGTTTGTTGGAGGTGAGAGTCTCACGGGCTTTCCTGCCCAGCCTTGTTCTGAACGGGGATCCTCAGATCTCAGCCTCCTGAGTAGGATTGCAGGGGACAGCCCTGGGCGCCTGTCTCCAGATCCCAGATCCTTCAGGGGTCTTCCCCTCTGCACTTCCGTCCTTTGGAGAGGAACTGTTCTTGGTTCTACCAGGCTGTCCTGTGGTTTAGGAATATTTTGGCCATATCCCTGGCCTTTCCACAGCCAAGAAACGTCTTCCCCGCATCCCTGCGGGGACAGGGCAGGACGGCCTGCCCGCCCAGCCACAGCTCAAGCAACACCCAGGAGAGAGAGAGAGAAAGAAAACCCATGAAAGACTAGAAGATTTGAAATCGGACAAGTTTTAAAACAAACTCCCCAGTGGCAAAAAAAAAAAAAAGAATGTACTTGACTGGAAATGAAGGCTACTGTTGCAACTTCTCCCTGATTTCTTCCTTCTCTGTTTCTTTTGCAGAATCAAGAAATGTTTCCTTGTTAGAAACATGGCGGCTCAAGCCTGGAAGAGGCCTGTGAATGCTTTTTGAGACATATCGCTGACTCACAAATAAGCACTGAACAAGAGTGGACAGGGAACACTAAGTTACCGGCCTCCTCTGCTTTGAGAGGCTCTGCGGCCGCCTCCAGCCTGGGATGTAGCATCATGCAATTAGGTTTTGCCTTATTTGCTTCATTGTCCTACCTGTGTACATAGTTTTTACTTTTTATGTAGCACATAAAACTTTAGGGGGGGCGGGAGGGGTTGGGGGGTGGTGGAGATCTTGCTTCCATTTATAGCAAGGACAAAAAAACATTTGTGACTTGCAGAGAAGCAATTTGGGGGAAGGGTCTGTTTTCCCTTAAAGATTTAATCATGTCCCTTTTGGGGTGAGAATCTGAGACTTCATTTTTTTTTTAAAAATCAAGATTGGAACACTGGCTTACAGAGAGTGGCTCTGTATTTGTATACAAATCCTGCTCTCCTGTGGGACCTGGGAGGTTTTCCAGTCCTTTTTCGTAGCAGCAAATGCCTGAAAACAACAAAAAGGTCCGCCTTAGTGTGCCTTTAAAACTGGAAGTCACCCCCTCATTTCCCAGCAGTTTGGTAAGAAGCCAGGTAGTTGGAGGCATACAATCTGGTTGGGGGGTGTGTGTGTGTGTATGTGGGAATTCTGAATGTTGACAACTGACCCTCTTTCTATACGCTTGCCAAATTCGTTGGGGAAATTTTAGTTTCCTTTTCACTCGGCTATCCTCAGTTTTTATAGCTCTGTACCTTTACACACACAAGAAAGAATCTTCCATTCCATGCTCCTGGTTCTGTTTGATTTGCCCACGGGCAGGCGGCTGTGTGGACGTTTTTCAGGAGGGCAGGGACGGCACTCTCTCTATGTGCCTTCATGTTTTTGTAGGAGACAAAAATCATTTCATTCCCAGTGGACCTGTACATAACTGTAAAGACACCGAAAAATTATACTAACTTATTTATGTTACAAAGAGATCTCTTTAAAAAAAAAAAAAGAATCTAACCAATATACAAGCCAAAGTGGCAAGTTGTGTGCATTTGTAAATGCTGTTCCGGGCAGACTAGGCCCACTCCCCATTTTTTTGTTAAATAATACGGCTGTGCTTAAAAGATTGCATACTGAGCCAAGTATAATTTTTTTTTGTAATATGTGAAAAAATGCCAATTACTGTTACACATCAAGCAATCAATAAAGAAAACTTCTGTAGCTACTTGAGTGGACAGCGAAGCACTTGCTTTCAAATGCATCCTGTCAGGTCAGACTCTGTTACACAAACAGGCGAACAACAACAAAAACGGGGGTCGAAGATAATCAGCACTAGCTGCTTCCCTTACCTGCAGACAGAGCTCCTGAAGCAGAAAAGCCAGTAAGAATGCAGTGTGGAGGCTCCACTAGTTAGAATGCTTCTTAGCTGAGTGGAGCGCCCGGGCCACGGTGGACTGAAAACGAAAGTAAGTCGCTGACGTCCAGGGGTGTTGAGAACAGGGCAGCCGGCGGGGCCCTGCCTGGGCCCTGTCCCCCTGCCCCTCTACCCCCTCCCTGTCCAGGCCCTGCCCCCTGCCCCCTACCCAACCAGAGCACCCTCACCCCGAGACGCGGCCCTGGGCCGCCCACACTCACCTGGGGCCTCCTGGTCAAATGTCACCGGGTAAAAACCCCCATTTCTGGGTGTCCTGCTTAGATGTCGCCGTGTCCCCAAAAACCTAGTTGCTGAGAATATACCAAATCGTGCAGCTAAGATCATTTTTATTCATTTAAAGAGAAAAAGAAGAAGCCACCAAGCTCCTCAAGGTTAGCTTTACCTGGCTGACCCCTGACCCCTGCCTTCCCTAGGGAAAAGATAGAAGTCGCCCTCGGGAGGTCACAGCCGGCCCCCTCTGGGGACCCCACTACCCCCCACATCATCCGGGGACCCCACGGCCCCCACGGATCCGGGCTAGGGAAGGGGAGGAGTTGGGGTGGGAGGGGGGCGCAGCCTTGTCCCGGGGCACCCGGACCCCCTCCCCGAAACCACCGCCCCGGCTCCCGGGCCCCACACGCCGTGATCCCCACCCGCGCGGCCCGGATGATCGGGGAGCCCCGATGATCGAGGGGGGACGTGTTGGGTGCGGGAGCCCCGGATGATCGGGGGGATCATGTTGGGTCCGGGAGCCCCGGATGACCAGGGGGCCGGGGTCGTGACGGGGCCCGGCCGGCCGGGCACTGTACCGCTGCTCCCCGGCACTTGGGCTCCGGCGGCCCCGTCACCA